CCGGAAAGACACCTCCAGCGCCGCCCTCCACGGCGTCACCAAGCCGCGGGGCAGCGGGGCTGGGAAGCGGCCGCTGGGTTCAGACCCTTCCCGCACCCTTCCTGCTTCAGCGGGGCGCTGCGGAGAATTCAAAATGCTGCCTGCTCCAGACTCCCTGCACACCGCTCGTCTGCCACGCCCGGCCCCCACCACCGTAGGCAGTGCCCTCCTGCGTGGCCGGGGTGGGCAGGGCAGGGACGTCTCCCTGTGGGGGAAGGGTGCTCCCTCCCCACTCTACTTCCGACTCCCCGGGTTTAGTGGAAGAATTTCAGTTCACCTTTGATTGTTGTCCACAATTTCCATATCCCGGTGTCTCTCTTCAGTCTTGGGAAGCTGACCCAGAGCAGGTGCAGATGGCTTGTGTGGTTGCCTGTCCTCTTCACCCCTCACCCTGAGAGCCGCGAGCCAAGAGGTCAGCCCTGTTCCGCCATTTTTCACAATCTCCTCTACTGACATATTTTGTACATTATAAAACATATGCAAAATGTCAAACAATAAAATAAACAGATTTTAAAATAATTTTTAGTAATGATTCAAAAAACTAATGTGATTGAATAAGCTTCATAATTTTTTATAATCACAGGTTAATATTTAGTGATAAAGCTATTAGATCTGCTTCTAAGTTCTGTTTAATACTTGTTTTTAATGACTGTTATTGCTGTTATTAAAATCCATGTAACAAAGAAATATGAATCCGAATTGAACAATTGGCTGTATTTATTGAGTGATAATACTCATTTTTCAATTCTATCAGTCAATTATGCAAAAGTATTTTAATTGACGAGTAAAATTTCTTATATATCATAATGTCAATCAGTTGTTTTTGCAAACATTAGACAGTAGAGCATTTCTGTATTTTAACAAAGTATTTTCAGACCATTGAAATACTTTATTTATAAGATTTTAAAACAGTTTATAAATTTACTTCCAGATTTTTGAGTATATACATTTGAGATTTTATTTTTTTAAGTTTTGCATATAATCTTTATTGTTTCAGAATTTTTCGCCAGTCATGTCAAATTTCAGTTATGGTTTAAATATAGTGAACTTTGTATTCCAATCAAAATATTTATAGCTTCTAATTCTAGAGGAAATAGATTTGAAGTAGAAATAATATATTCATAGAAATTACATTAAAACCATCTATATTTGAAAAACACTATTTTAGGCAATAAGAATAAATGTAACATCAATTAAATAACAGCAGTTAAACTAAAAAGAAATAAATCAAAATTACTCCTAAAGAGAGAAAACACAGATGTCCTGCTGTGTTTGGGGTTGTCCAGCGGTCCTCTGTAAACCTGGATCAAACCTACAGGTGACCTGGATCCCTGAGCCCTCATGGCTTACCTGTCCTCCTTTCTCAGGGACCTGATGTCATGATCCAGGGGATTCCCTGGTACTCTTGGGTCTCTGCCTAGGGCTACATGTGGAACAGCAGGAGCCACTTGCAGAAAGCTAGAATTTAAACTTTGCTTCAGCCAGTTTTTGCCTATTGTGACCATCTTCTTTTCTTTTGCTCATTGAGCTTTCTCTCAGTCAACAGAGCTGCCACCCTACTTTCTTGTGCTTTTCCCCCTCATGATTGATAGATAATTCATCTTCGAAGGAAGGAAGTGGTTCTTTCTATCCTCTTCCAGTAGGGTCACACTTCTGATGCATATGGCTGGTTTTTTTTTTTTTTTTTTTTTTTTTTGAGACAGAGTCTCACTTTGTTGCCCGGGCTAGAGTGCCGTGGCGTCAGCCTAGCTCACAGCAACCTCAAACTCCTGGGCTCGAGTGATCCTTCTGCCTCAGCCTCCCGGGTAGCTGGGACTACAGGCATGCGCCACCATGCCCGGCTAATTTTTTATATATATATCAGTTGGCCAATTAATTTCTTTCTATTTATAGTAGAGACGGGGTCTCGCTCAGGCTGGTTTTGAACTCCTGACCTTGAGCAATCCGCCCGCCTCGGCCTCCCAAGAGCTAGGATTACAGGCGTGAGCCACAGCGCCCGGCCTATATGGCTGGTTTTCATGTACTTTGGGAAGTTTCTTCTCTATTTCCAAGTGGTGGTAAACTCCCTCTTCAATTGATTATCTGCAAAGTTACCTTATGTTCTTTTAAAAAAATTTTTTAATTTTTCTTTTAATTTCATGATATTATGGGAGTACAAATGTTTGGTCACATAAATTACTTTTGTACCGTTTGATTTTTAAAAGGTGAACTGTGTATCATTTTCAGCCACAAACTCACACCAAGATGGAAATATTACCAACTATCCATTTTCAAAATGATCTCTCCATAGCATAAGTTTCTTTTACTCATTGTTAAACTTCACTTATATTTTGAAGGGACAAATTAAGTATGCTTTTTTATTCTTTTTAATATCAGCTAAAAAATGACTAAGTAGCCACTTGTCGTCCCTGAAAAGATTAGTAAATTTGGAACAAGTCTTTTCATATGTGAACTAAAAATCCTAAAGTCCTCTGCTAACTGAATGGACCCTTCTTGGCCAAGGGGACCCCAGAAATACCTTAAAACTGAGTTCCCAGCCTTGACAGGGATGGGAAAGATAAATAATTACATGCATATCAGTTCCCTTAATAAATATTCATGACTACTCCTACAGCTTATTGAATATGTATATTTGACCCCTGGCTCAATATAAAATCTTGTTCCTTTTGTTCTTTGAAGCACGTGTGCCTGGGGCTCTGCTTCCCAGCCTGTTGGAATGGCCACCCAACAGGCTGCTACCCTTTATATGAAAAATAAAGCTCTCCTTTTTCCAAAGTATAAACCTTGTTGATTAATTTTTTTTAAGTTAACACATAAAAGAAAAGCACTTAATTCATCTTAAAATTCCTTTTAAGAATTTTATATCAGAATCAAGTAAATCTCTCTTTTAGTATAAAAATTATCATACTTTCCAACTCATTAAAAATGATTGTATATCCTTGTGAAAATAAAAGATATTCTTGTGTTCAATTTGATTTTAATTTTAAATTTACATATGATTTTTTGCATAACCTTGATTTTTTTTAAGTCACCCAGACTCTCCTGAACATGACCTTGACTCTATCATTGAAACTCTCTAATATAATTTTGAAATGAAGATAATAGCATCTATTTGTGTTTATTTCATAGGGGTAGTTCAAGGATTGGTTAATATTTTATTTAAGCAAAAATGAGTTATTTTAATGACAGTATAATCTAGGCTATTGCCATATGAAAGAATAGTTAGGATTTTATTAACTTTCATTGAGAAGCAGTAAGAGCATAGCTAGTGGAATGTGCTGGGGAGGTCTCTTTGATTTGTGAAAAAGACTTGTCTTTTTCCTCAGGAAAACATTGTCGTTTTTTCCAGATATGTTAATTCAGATGTAAAACACATTAATCAACATTGCTTTAGCCATTGACAACTTTTCCTTTCAAATTAAGAGGCAAGAAGTTTGGGTGTTTTATTTTTATTCATTCATTAAACAAACATTTATTGATATTAAGCCTTTGCTCCCTGCTATGTATGGTATTGAGGGGTAAAATGATAGCTCATTCCTTAAAGAGACACACAAGCTAATTGAGGATACAGATTTCCAAATGATTATAATAGAGGTATTTATAAAGCACTAACAAAACAAGAGAAAGGAAGCAAATTAAAGCCAATGGAAATTAAAAAGTCTTCTCAGAGTAGATAATGTTTAAGCATAGAGAAATACTTAGGAACTGACCAAACAGAGAAAAGGGCATTTAAAGAGTATAGTGTGTCTGATGTTTGCATTTTATAAGGTTTTCTGCATTTTATTTCTGGGACCAAGAGTCAGCAAATGTTATAATGCAGAGGTTTCCAAACCTTCTCTGTTCATGGTGCCCTTTGGGTTCTAGTATTTTCATACTCCTACACCAAAAGAAATACCTCACAGTTAAGTTCATCAAGTAAATAAGTTCAAACAACTTGCTAAATATTTAATGTCCTAACAATTTAATAACTGTTTAGAAAAGTAATACACATATATTGAAAGAAAAATACTTTAATTCTCATTTAATCAAAATAAAAATGAAATGCATGTGCTTGTTGGGCATCGTACAGCTTCTCCAACCGTGGAATCAGATCGAACACTACCATCTTCATTTCCTGTTCCATGTTACTTTCATGGAGTACTTGTCTGTATCATACAACCACCATGCAAGCCAGCTTCAAAAAAGATACATCATCGAAAGTGAAAATTGTGGGCCGGGCGCGGTGGCTCACGCCTGTAATCCTAGCTCTCTGAGAGGCCGAGGCGGGTGGATTGCTCAAGGTCAGGAGTTCGAAACCAGCCTGAGCAAGAGTGAGACCCCGTCTCTACTATAAATACGATAAGAATTAAGTTGGCCAACTAATAATATAAGAAAAATTAGCCGGCATGGTGGCGCATGCCTGTAGTCCCAGCTACTCGGGAGGCTGAGGCAGCAGGATTGCTTGAGCCCAGGAGTTTGAGGTTGCTGTGAGCTAGGCTGACGCCACGGCACTCACTCTAGCCTGGGCAACAAAGCGAGACTCTGTCTCAAAAAAAAAAAAAATAAATAAAAAAAAAAAAAAAAAAAAAAAAGAAAGTGAAAATTGTGAACTATGTTAAGTTCATGCTGTGTCTGGCAGATGTCACATATCAGTGTTATTTTCCTCAATTTAAGATCCCATGATATCCTCGTGAGTTTGCTGTTCAGCCCTGGAATGCCTTGGCACACAATTTGGGAACTGCACCTTTGATGGTTAATACCCTTAGCCAATCTAAAGAAGAGGGATTAGTTTAATGTGGTATGGTGAGCAAAAGAAAATAAGGCCACACTAGCAGAGTAGTGATGATTTGATTTCATTAAGAATTATAGTGCTATTGCAAGTTGGGCACAGGTATGGTCATTTCTATTTTTAAATTTGGTGTGGCTTTTATTGTTTGATTTATTTAAAATTGGTCATTTGTATTATAATCATTTTGTAACAGATAGATGAGTTGCATATATCTATGATCCAGTGGATGGTGAATCTGCTGATTGTGATGATACCTGACTTTACTGATGAAGACACTCTTCCAAAGTCAGAGGAGGAAAGCGCTGAGAAACATGACATAGGAGTTGCACAGTTAGAATTAGATGCAATTGCACTGACAAAAAAGCTGGCCCAATACTCCAGCTATTTGAGCAGGTGAAACTCCGGTTATTTTATTGCTTCCCCTTTGAAGATTAAATGTGACATAAAGCAGAGAAAAGAAAAGCAGTGTAGTAGCAGCAATAAGGGTTATTTTAAAACCTTGAAAGAAATACTAGTTGAATTTTTCAACTAGCTGCAACACTATAGTCAGTTAGAATATGAGATTTTGGTGTTCTCCCAATGGCCTTAGAATTCTTTTGAAAATAGTGTTAACATAGGCAAGATGGGAAGTATATGTATATGGGATGAGAATTAGTTAAAAAAAACTTCACTTTCTAAATAAGATGAAACATCCTGTGCTTTTGCACATACTTGAGGGGCATTTAAGAAGCAGCTTCTAGTTTCCTGTATAATTACACACAAAGCTGAATGTATACTTTTATGTGCTTCACTAAATATGCAAAACATCTCTCTCTCTCTCTCTTTTTTTTTTTTTGAGACAGTCTCGCTTTGTTGCCCAGGCTAGAGTGAGTGCCGTGGCGTCAGCCTAGCTCACAGCAACCTCAAACTTCTGGGCTCAAGCAATCCTGCTGCCTCAGCCTCCCGAGTAGCTGGGACTACAGGCATGTGGCACCATGCCTGGCTCATTTTTTCTATATATATTAGTTGGGCAATTAATTTCTTTCTATTTTTATAGTAGAGACGGGTCTCGCCCTTGCTCAGGCTGGTTTTGAACTCCTGACCTGAAGCAATCCACCTGCCTCAGCCTCCCAGAGTCCTAGGATTACAGGCATAAGCCACTGCACCCGGCCAAAAACATCTCTTTTAAAAAATGAAAAAAACCCTTATATCTGAAAAGCTAGAAAATTCCACTGAATAAAGATGAGGTCTAAAAAATTATAATCTATTAACTAAGATACATAGTCACTATGATTACTTTAAATTTGGGAAGTAGCTTTTACAATCTAGACATTTTCCCCTTCATTTCAATTTAATGTTACCAATGGTCAAGAGTGAGAGAGATGGAGGGGTGAAACAGGAAGGGGGAGAAATTGATAAAGGGACAAATTATTTTTCTTGGTTAGGCAGTAGCTGAATCATTATGGTAAACTTCGACTGTGGATTTTTGGATTTTAAACACTTAGAATGAGGAGCCAACAATAAGCAGGTCATGCTGAGTGTGTGTATGCTTTGCAAAACAATTTTAATTTTTATTATTTCTTCTGCAGTTGTTGCAAAGGGCTGGTAACAACAATGGCTCTGAATAAAGCATTTCACTCAGAAAAAGGTGCTGCTAAGGAGCTTCACGAACTAGATAGGATGAAGGTAATAATTCTGTCTTCCCCTTAATTTTGTTTTATTTGTTTTAGCAGATTTTTTAGGTTTAATAGATATAAAACAAACTGTACATATTTAATGTGTATAATGTTATAAGTTCTAAAATACGTATATACTTATAAAAATAATCACTTCAATAAAAATATAAAACATAGCCAGCGTACCCAAAATATTCTTGTAATTCTCTGTATTCTCTCCTTCTAGCCTCCTCTTCCTGTCCCCAGGCAATGTCTGATCTACTTTCTAATACAAAGATTATTTTTCATTTTTTTGAATTTATATAAATGGAATTATATAGAATATACTCTTATTTTGTCTGACTTCTTTGACTAAACATAATCACTTTGAGATTCACACATATTGTTACTTTTATCAAAAGTTTATGCTTTTTAGTTCTGAGTATTATTTCATTGTAGAGACATATATATAATTTATTTATATATTCTCTATTAATGGGCATTTAAATTGTTTCTTGTTTTTGATCATTACAAAGCTTCCATGGATATTCATGTACACATTTTTAAATGGACAAATCCTTTCATTTCTTTTTAGTTAATATTAGGAATGGAATGGCTGAGTCATATGGAATGTGTGTGTTTAACTTTGAAAGAAACTGGCAAACTATCTTCCAAAGTGGTTAATTGGTATAAAAATCCAGTCAGATAGAAGGAATAAGTTCTAATATTTTAGAGTACAGTAGGGAAATTATAGTTAACTATAATTGATTGTATATTTCAAAATAGCTAGAAGAGAATTGTAATGTTCCCAACACAAAGATATTGAGGTGATGAATATCTCCATTACTCTGATTTGATCATTACCCTTTGTACATGCATCAGAATATCACATATACACCCCAAAATATGTACAGCTATGATATATCAATATTTTAAAAAGTCGTTAAATGATTTTTACACTACTGCTAGCAGTGTATGAGGTTCCAGTTGCTTCATATCATCACTGACACTTTGATATAGTCTTTTTAATTTTAGACTTTCTAAAAAGTGGGTATTCATATGTCATTTTGGTTTTAACTTTACACTTCTTTAATGAACAATGATGTTGAACCTCTTTTATGTGCTTATTTGTCATCCATATATCTTCTCTGGTGAAATATCTGTTCAAATCCAAATCTTTGGCTTATTTATTGTTTATTTTGTTATATTGAGTTTTGAAAGCTTTTTGTGTGTTCTGGATACCAAGTCTTTTATCAGATATGTGATTTTCTCTCAGTCTGTGATTTGTCTTTTCTTCTCTTAATAGTGTCTTTCAAACAGGGAAGTTCTTAATTTTGATGAAGTTCAATCTTTCTTTTTTTAACATCACAAAGGTTTTCTCCTATGTTTTCTTCTAGAAGTTTTATAGTTTTAGGTTTATAATCAAGTCTTTGACCCATTTTGAGCTAACTTTTTAAATATATGGTGCCAAGTATGGATTGAAGTTCATTTTTTGGCATTTGGATATCCAATTGTTTTAGGACAATTTGTTGAAAAGATAGTCCTTTCTCTATTGAGATGCCTTTGCATCTTTGTCTTAGTTCATTTTGTGTTGCTATAAAGGAATACCTGAGGCAGGGTAATTTATAAAGAAAATAGGTTTATTTGGCTCACGGTTCTACAAGCTGTACTAGAAGCATGGCATCCTCATCTGCTTCTTGTGAGCTCTTCAAGCTGCTTCCCCTCATGGCAGATGGCAAAGCAGAGCCAGCATGTGCAGAGATCATACTGTGAGAAAAGAAGCAAGGGGTGGGAGATGCAAGACTTTTTAAAAAATAATTATCTCTTATGGAAATGAACAAGAACTCAATCATTACCGCAAGGATGGCACCAAACCATTCATGAGGGATCTGTCCCCATGACCCAAACATTTCCCATTAGGCCCCTCCTCCAACACTGAGGGTCAAATTTCAACATGAGATTTGGAGGGGTCAAATAAAGCAAACCACAGCAATTTTTGTTGAAAATCTGTTGACCATATATGTGTGGGTATTATTCTGGACATTTTATTGTGTTCTATTGATGTATCTGTCAACATTATCACCATTACCAAACTCTCTTAATTACTGTAGTTTTGTAATAAGTTTTGAAATCAAGTAGCATAAATCCTTTAAATTTGTTCTTTGTCAAAATCAAGTTATTCTAGGTCCTTTGTTTTCCATATGAATTTTATTATCAGCTTATAAATTTCTCCAGAAAAGCCTGCTGGAAGTTTCATTGGGTGTATGGGACTGACATATATTTTCCTAGTTTAAGAATTAAAGTGAGTAATGTATGTGTTCTGCCCAGAGCATTTGAAAGTAATGTGTTCCAGTCAGGCTCCCTGTTATAAACAAAGCTGTTGCCTAGAGGCATAACAAAGGACCTGAGCTGCAAGTACGCAAGAGCTGCTCCGCCCCATGGCATTGGGGGTCTAGAGGACACATGATAAACATCCCATAAGATGGCCGGTTAGTCAATGACGGGTAAGACCCCTCAAGGGAGGGGAGACCTAAGCTATGTACAGCCACTGGGGTTCAGCCGAAGATCTTAGGGGATCACCCTAAGAGAAGCTGCAGATGAGAAATGCCCCCTGTGGCTTGCCTTGCCCATCCTTGTTAATCTCAGTCCGTGATCTATGCCTATTGCCTAGAGCAACCACTTGGAAACCTTGAGTCAGGGTATATCTGCTTCCCTAAGGCTATGTATTCCAGAATTTATGGCCATTGCTGAAATGCCTGGGTGGTTACGTATGAGGAACTAACTTTAATTTTTTAGAGTATAAAAGTAAAACTGACCTGGTGTATTAGGACTCTAGTCAACCGTCTGTATGTGTGTCTGCATTTTTCTTTGTGTTCTGCATTTGTTTTATGTTCCGTGTTCATCCTCCATCCTGTAAGTGGGCCACGACAATTGGGCTTATATTTTGTCTATTGATCAGTTTGTGGAGAATTGACAGCTTAACAATATTGAGTCTTTGGATCTGTGAACATAATATATCTTTTTATTTATTTAATTCTTTGTTATTTCTTTAAGCAAAGTTTTATAGTTTTCAATGTATAAATCTTACACATCTTTTGTCAGATTTATTCCTAAGTATTTCATATTTTGGTGCTACTGCAAATGGTATTGTTTTATAATTTTAATTTCTGATTATTTATTGCTAATATATATAATTACAGTGTATTTTTTAATACATTGGTCTCATGTCCTGTGGACATTGTTAAACTCACTTATTTTTTCTAAGAATTTTTTTTCCAGATTCCTTGGGATTTCTACGTACATGGTTATGTCATTTACAGATAGGGACAGTTTTATTTCTTCTTTTCCAATCTATCCATTTTTTACTTTTCTTGCCTTATTATTCTAATTAGACTCTCCAGTACCAGGTTGAATAAAAAGGTGAGAATACAACATCCTTGCCTTGTTCCATCTTATGGAAAAAGTGTTTATTCTGTCATTTTAAAGTATAATGATAGCTGTAGGTTTTCCATAGATACCTTATAACATATTGAAAGAATTCCTTTTTATTTCATGTTTGCTAAAAAAGAATTTTTTTTTAGTCTGGAATAGATGTTGGATTTTATCAAACTCTCTCTTTTTTTTTTGTACCTATTATGGTTATGAGTTGTCTTTTTTAGTCTGTCAATATGGTGAATTACATTGATTAAATTTCGAATTGAATGTTAAACCAACCTTGTATTCCTGTGGTAAACTCCACTTGATCATGATGTGTTATCTTTCTTATATATTACAAATTCAATTGATTAAATTTTTGTTTAAATTTTTGCATTGATGTTCATGAGAGATATTGATTACATAGTTTTGTTTGTTGATATCTTTGGTTTTTTTTTTTTTGTTTTTTGTTTTTTTTTGAGACAGAGTCTTATTTGTTGCACAGGCTAGAGTGAGTGCCGTGGCATCAGCCTAGCTCACAGCAACCTCAAACTCCTGGGCTCAAGCAATCCTCCTGCCTCAGCCTCCCGAGTAGCTGGGACTACAGGCATGCGCCACCACGCCCGGCTAATTATATATATATATATATATATTAGTTGGCCAATTAATTTCTTTCTATTTATAGTAGAGACGGGGTCTTGCTCTTGCTCAGGCTAGTTTCGAACTCCTGACCTCGAGCAATCCGCCCACCTCAGCCTCCCAGAGTGCTAGGATTACAGGCGTGAGCCACCGCGCCCGGCAATATCTTTGTTTTTGATATCAGAGTAATACTGGCCTCTTAGAATGAGTTCTTATTCTTCTATTTTCTAGAACAATTTGTGTAGAATTGCATATTATTTCCTTCTTAAATGTTTGGTAGAACTCGCCCATGAAGCCATCTGGGCTTTGTGGGAAGATTTTTAACTAACAAATATAGAGCTATTCAAATATAGGGCTATCCAATTTCTCTAATAGGCTTAAGGAAGTTCCTTTACCAGATACAGAGCTATTATCTCTTTCTTCTTGAGTGAGCATGATAGCTTTTGTCTTCTAAGGAATTTATAATCTCATCTAAGTTGTCTAATTTATTGGCATGGAATTGCTCACAATCTTCCCCTATTACTCTTAATAATTATAGGATGTCCACTCTCTTATTCCTATTATTGAAAATTTGAGTCTTTTTATCTTCATTGATCTATTAAAAGATTTATCAATTTTCTTTATCTCAGAGAACCAGCTTATGATTTTGTTAATTTTTTTCTACTATTTTTCTGTTTTCCATATACTTAATTTCCACTAATTATTTCTTTTTGCCTACTTACTCTGGATTTCATTTGTTCTTTTTCTAGTTTCTTAGGGTATAGCTGAGATTGTTGATTTGAGACCTTTTTATCCCCCTCATATAGGCATTTAGTACTACAAAATTTCTAAGTACTGCTTTAGTTGCATCTCACAGATTTTGATATGTTATGTTTTCATTTTAATTCATCTAAAATACTTTTTCTCAGACTTGTGGGGGGAGGGGGAAAGGGCATTTATTGAAACCTTAAAATCTGTACCCCCATAATATGCCAAAAT